GGCGTCCGCAGTTGCGGCCAGCTTCTTAGCCAGGTACTGTCCATTGGCAGGATGGATGATGGAGCGGGCTTGGAAGAGAAGGAAGCAAGTTCCAGATCCTAGGAAATGGCTGTGTTGCGCCGGATGACTATTTTGCAGCTGACATATCTGCTTGCAACCAACCATCTGAGGGGCCCCGAAAGCACCCACTCGCCCCAAAGACCTAGGACTTGATACTTCTAGGGAAGGCTATCTTCGTGGTAAACCACAAGTTCATACTCTGTAGCGAAGGCTGTCCTCTTTTCGGATACGGAAGTCCCGGAACCTTTTGAGCTGCAGGCTCCCAAAGGGGCCCGCTTGTGCTCTCCAGGCCAACATGGAACCCAACAAGCGCAAACAAAAATGGTTTGCACGGCCCCAAGTAATTAGCCATACTCCAAGGTGAAGCACGCCAAATTAGATCATTTCCCCATTTGCGGCGAAAATCCACACTCTTCCCAGGAACATGGGTTCCCCATTCCCTCGCTTTCACAGGTCCGGTGCCCCCAGATTGTTCTTGTTTTGTGGGCCAACGTCCATTCAGTTGTGTTGACTGTTTACTGCAGAAACAATAGTTGCTTCCCCTCAAGCCAGAGAGGTGCCAGGCCATGGTCAAACAAATAACAACTTGGGCCATGAGAACATGTTGGGTGTTCCTTGTATTTACTGGCCACAAGGGGCTTCTTCACAATTTTCAAGGCCGTTGCCTTGTGGTGCCCCCTTCGCAATGTTCAACACTCATGTTGATGTTCCTTCTTTCCACCAGGATGGATGACCTAATTTCTAGAACTCGGTTTGGATGCTCTTTTGTGGATTCACCTGTTCTTCGCCTGGTTGGTTCTTTAATAATATGTTAGTGCTTTCAATATCGATGGTTGGATCTTGAGATTCGTCACACCCAAACCCGGTTCCCACCAGCAACCCCCAAGCAACTGCTTCCCATATTCCAAGCAGCTTACCCCTTCGGGAGCTGATAGCTGCTGGGTGGTTTCCCCATTGGGTTTTCCGCTTGAACTGGGACCCAAACGGTTTTCTAGATAAATCCCCCTTGTGGTTCCCCTTCACAATCTTCAACACTCATCTTGATGTTCTTTCTTTCCACCACGATGGATGACCATAGATCCTAGAACATTGCTCGGATGCGCTTCTTGCGGATTTCACCTCTTCTTACCCCGGTTGGTTCCTAAGTACTCGTTTCTATCGTACTTTGCATATGCAGGGTCGGATCCCTATGGTTCCCTTCAACACACCTTTGGTGCATTTGGCTTGGATATTAGGATTTCAACTTCTTGCCAACTAATGGATTTTCCGTATTCAACCACTAAAAGTTGTTTTTTTGCAGGGGAGCAGAAAGCAACCGAGACAGCGCCGGGGCTTCGCCCTCGCCCTCAGGCGATGTCCTGGTGGCCTTGTATCTCCGCCACGGCGCCCAGTTTCTGCGGCGCCTGGACGGCGACTTCGCCCTTGTAGCGTGGAGACCCGGGCCGATGTGGTTGTCAAAACCGTTTTGGGATCCCATTTTGGGGTTTTCGGTGCACTGCCCATTTTAGAACCTATTCATTTTGAGGTTTTCGGTGCACCGCCCATTTTAGAACCTATTCATTTTGGGGTTTTAGAACCTATTTTAGTGGTTGGATTGAATCGGATTTTCACTGGGGGTACAATTTGGATTTTGACCCATGGCCATGTCTCTGCGCAAAACCCAACACCAAAACCCGAGACCTGGGCGGTTGGACCCAGTTGCCCAGCGGTGCCCGTTTTTTTTCCTTTTTTTTGGGGGGGGGGAGAAGGAAAGGATCCGATTCCGGTTTAAAGTCAACCAACCAAGAAAGGATGCCTTGTTTTTCCCCCATGGCAACTGGGCATCTTGGAGGATGAGGTCTCGATGTGTGCCATGGTCAAAAGTCGGGTTCCTTTACTCGGGATTAGCAGGGATGGTCATCCACCTGGGATCCGTAATGACCATTATAATGATTCCCGTTGGGAATTCATGACCATGGGACATACAAGGACCTTTGCCCATGGCTCATATGTGGGGGTGAATCTGAATTGGGTCGCGGAACCTTTGGTGGACATCAGAATTCGGTGGGGATGCATGTCCACCATCCACTTTTCAGGTGGCCATGTTTTTTTTTTGTAGGGTTGGATTCCCAAAATGGTGGTTGCCTTTTGACTTTCCTTTCCAACCAACATGGGGTTCCCCTAAAGAAAGACACAGCAATATAAACCTTAGCCGTGTTAGTAGAACCAAAGGTCAATGGGTCTTTGGCCGCTGCTTAAGTGGGGTAGCTCCGGCCACGCAGAAATATTATTTTGCATAACAGATCAATCTTATTGGTTTAGAATCCCTCACTCAGCTTGACCATACCCTTGGTTTGTTCAGGGCTTCTAAAGGGATGCATGGCGGCGAGGATTTTTTTTTTCGAGAACTGGCAGCAAGCCTGATGCTTGGCAGGTGTGGGAGGTCAGTCGAGAGGACTTGCCGCTTGATGAGTTGTCGTGTTGTGAAATTCCTTTCTTGCTGCTCCACAAGTTGTTTTTTTGCTTTTTTCGCCGCGAGGCTATTGTAGACAGGCACTTCCAGCAGCCCCAGCAGCCACTGCGATGCCAAACCCTGCGCCACAAAAGCTTTGAAGTCAAGCTACATCCCTGATAGCCCAATGCTTCCAGGCGTTTCGCCACTAGGTACCCCTTGCGGGGTTTTGCCAAACATGTTTTCTGGTTATCTTACTATAGGGGCGCAACGCCTGGAAGACCTGCGTAGGATGCCCTCGACAAGTGAGCTTTCTTGGCGCTAGGGAAGCCAATTCTGCAACTTGGGCCTTCAATTCCGAACGCGTGTTTTTGTGTTTGTCGCCGTATGGCTGGTCCTTGGTGGAAACGGGAAAACCACCTTCTCCGGATCCAACACACACACACCCATGTTCGCCGTTTATCCGGGGTGGTGTGGCTCTACCGCGCTGTTGCAGCGCAAAAGCGCCATGTGCTCAGCGGTTCTGTGACCAGTCGGCTCGAGTCGGGATAGCGAGACCCCGCAAACATTCCACGGGCGCCATGTGCAAAGAGAAGTCGGCGGTGCATCCTTGGCTCACCACAACACCTATGGCGCAAGACCAGGCGGAGGCGGGCACATTCGCTTTACATTGTTCAGGTTCCAGCAAGAAGTAACCTCTTGTCCATTCAATGTACCTGAGTCAAACTTAGATTATTAATTAAGGGAAAAAGCATATGAACACCTAATAATGTCAACTGCACAGGACTGCACGCTGGTCACAAGAATCCCCCTAGCCATTGTCAATTCTGCACCAAATGGGCGTGTCTTTTGTACTTTTGTAGGGGACCCCCGAAATAACATCGGTTTTCCTCTTGGTTTCCCTTTAAAGCAGACCAAAAAAGGGGTACCAACTCCAAAAGAGAGACGCCCAAATGTGGAGTCCTTAGATTTATCTAGAGGACTTGATTCAGCCGCAGTGAACTGTTCGGCGGCCTGTGTCAGCGGGTTTGACAGGAGCAATGCAAAACAAAAGTTTTGGATTCTGTCGCTTTTGAGATGTTTCTGTCGCTTTTGAGATGTGAATGTGTCTTTTTTGCTGGGTTTTCTTTTTGGGTTTGGCTTAAGGGCATTTCGAGCGGTTTAAAGGGAAGCCACACGTTTTTTGGTGGGTACCCCTTTCTTTCGGGGCTGGTTGTTCAATTGAAACTAAAGGGGACACCACCATTAGGGTCGTCTCTTTTTAGGCACCCTCATGTTTTATGAAGTTTCAATTCGCCTCCGCCCGCCTTTTGAGCGTCTTTGTCATTGGTCATGTTCGTTCGATGTCCTATCCCATTGCCCTTGCGCAGTGAGCAAGCCGCACATCCGTACATAGGAGGCATCTCTTTTCCCAAGGCAAAAGGGATGTGTCCGATGTTTTTCCGACGCGACTTACGTTGCGTTGTCTCCCTATGCGGTGAGACGGTGCCGTTTTGAATGGACCCTGTGCTTCCAGTTGAGCTGCAATCGGAAGCCTGGGTAGATGAAGATTAGTTGAGGACACCTGCAAATTATGACAGCTGTCAAGAGCCGATCCCTTTTTTTCACCGGGCATGTAGAAACCACCTGGAAACCTGGCAGTGGTTGATTTCCCATTCTCTGCATTCCTTGTTTTCCGTACACTATTGCCAGAGAGTATAGAAGTACACGAGGGTTTTGGCAACCACCTAAAAGAAGCAGACTTGTTAGGTTCGGGCCTCCCAAATCAGGCTCCAAGTGGGAATGTGTCACCCCAATCGTGGCGGTCCGAAAATACAACCCGGAAAGACTGCCAGAAGAGGGTACCTTGGGAATACACGGGAACCCCCACATACAAATATATTATATATATATATATAATATATATATATATATACACGTATATTAATACATATATATATACATATATATACATATATATATATATACATATATATATATGTATATACATACATACATGTATACAGATATGCATATATACATATGTGTCTATATAAATACACGCTGTGGCCTGTCGAAACCGGTTCTCATGCACCCCGCAGGGATGGCTCTGATTTCCCTTTCCCCCTTCCCAGTTGGTCGGTTCCCAAGGAAGGAGGCGTGTGGTATTTGTGGGTTCCCTTGTCAGGTTGCTTTAGGAAACCAGGAGCCCGAAATCCATTCCGCGGGTCTCCCAAAATGACACATACTGATTTCGTGTGTCTCCCCATTTGAGTCGGTTTCCTCTTGGTCGTCCAACTTTTCTTGGCTCCCAGTCATCGGGTTCCTTAGCTTTTTCGCTTTTTAGCGTTTAGATTTCCATGGAACCCACCAGTTCCTGACTTTTGAGGCACCCCAATAAAACACGGACCGCCCAGTTTGAGGCACCCCACCGATGGCCGCATCGATGCGGAGAGCGCGCCAGGAGCTGTTCATGGAGCCCTGGGGGGTTCCCCACAAGCGGATCGGCGGCCACCGCCTCGCTCCCTTCATGAAGGCCTTCCATCGATTCCAATGGATCCCTCGGATCGATCGGAGAATTGGAGTGACAAAAATCGGAGTGGGCGCCGCACTCGTCGTGCCGTTTTTTTTTTGGGGGGGGGGGGGAGAAGTCTCCCCTTTTGGGTGGGTTAAAGGGAGACCACGAGTTGTGAAACCCACGCATCTCTATGGACCTCCCCCGCATTTTGGGAGAACGCCAGATACGGCTTCCGTCTTTTTGGTGAGATTGACGGAATTTTGTGATTTTGGGATCAAAGAAAGGTCCCATGTTGTAGCATGTTGGCATGTGCGGAAGGGAGGATTTCAGCGACTTCAGGCCCGGTGTCGGGTGTCGGGTCCCTAAGAAGAAAGCCCAAACCCAGTTCGTTGGAGTTCGTCGCGCGGATTCGGGGGACTGGATGGAGTCCGGGCCTTTTTTTTGGCCGGGACCCATGAAACATGGCAAGTTGCCACGCCCAACGTGAAGGGAGCTGCAGGACTCGAGACGTCTTTTGAATGCAAGTGAAATCATGTGGAGTCTATGGCAATGGTGTTTTTTTTTTGTTTTTTTTTGCATCCCTTAGGGCATAAATTCCAGTGGATTCTAGATGTGTTAGATTGGCTCAGATTTCGCAGTGTTGCTTTTGGGTGCATGCGTGCGCGTATGCGTGCGTGTTTTGTATGTGGTTGTTTCTGTTGCCGCCTCGCAATGTGATCAGCGCAGGGAAAACTCTCGCCCTCTGCAAGCAGCAAGAACGTGGATGGACAGAATCCACCACCACCTAAACCCTGGAGTGATTCGATTTGCCTGATACCAACAAGCAATGGCTTCCCATCTTTTCAAATTGGTGCGAACGGATTTCGAGGACCCATCAGTACGTCAAGTTTGCGAATTTCAACTTTTCGCGCAGTTACGTGAGAAGCCATAGGGACCTTTGATTGACGACAAGTGACTGCCAGCCGGAGTTTGTAGCCTGCAGTTCCCTGAGATGAAGTTTTCGGGAAACATGAACACGGTTTGCGCGATTCTTCCTTGGTGAAATATCATTTTTTGGGATATTCTCATCAAATAAGAAGCTTATATGACTCTACCCAGATTCCCTTGCCCAAGACCATTACAAGAGGGGATCCTCTGAACAGAGAGTGTTGGTCTTGTGATGCCTGCAGATTATTGGGGCTTGGAGCTGCTTGGAACAAATGGAGCATAGCACCTTGGATTCTTTGTGCCTGCCACAGATCCTTGGCCCATCCAACTTGCCAGGTGGTTTGAAGATCAAGGGCTGAGATTTGGCACTGAGAGTTGACGCCCCGATCCAAGTCACATGTCGTTGTGTGGCGCCTGGAACACCTTCCAAGATTCACCAGTTCTCTTGCTGGTTCTCAGGGAATGAGAATGAAACGATCCCAGGAACCATCGCCGATTTGGTTTTCCTTCAAGGATTTCCCATTCCCAACACCCGGGCTCGTTGTCACTCCTTACCTGTCGCGCCAGCAAAAGTTCTGAACTCTCCTCGTTTTCGAAGAAACAAAACACACACACACACAGTCATCCACACACCCACCTACCCACCCACCCATCCACCCACCCACGCACGCACGCACGCACGCACGCACGCACGCACGCATGCACCGCGGACATTTCGGCATTGGCAGGCCCGGGCCATCGCGCAGATGGCGTCCACCTGGCCATCTCGCGTGACTTGGCACCCTCTCAAATCGCTGAGGCCCAATGAGAAGGCAGACCTCTGATTGACAAACCCCCCAATATATAAATCAGGGAGGTGCTTTTTTCGTGGGGTTTCCTTTCTTCCAGGGACCTCCCCTGATTGAAAACTGGGGGGGGGGGCGTTACTCGGGATCCTTACCTCCAGGTTTTCCATGGATGGTTTCCCCTGGTTAAGTCCCTACTATAGTGAGAAACACCTGGAAGCACTGGGATAGATGATGTGACCAGGATTGGGCACCCTTTTTTTTCGGAGACCCCCGTTCGGCGTGGCGAGAAACCGCCGAAAAAGGTGGTAGAATCAAAAAGATGCTCTCACGTAGGGGAATCTCCTCGATCCAATTGTTGGGTTCCACTTGAATGTGGGGAGTAATATCCCGGCCAGAAAAGTTGCCCAAAGAAGTACAGGTATTTGTCAGCAGAACAATTTGGACCCCTAACATGGTTTTTGGTCTTCCTTGTGGATTGAAAAGGGTACCCACAGAGTACATTCCAGTTTTGGATTGCGTAGGAGTACATCCTACGCAAAAGGATCCATGTAGGATCATTTGGCAAATGCCCCAAATCAAATGAGCCCCCCAATTGACAGCAAATTGGGCTTACCTGAAAATGCGGGAAACAACAACATGGTGGTTTTCATTTGTTTCCCTGTAAGGCCACCCACACAACAAGGAACCCTCAGTAAGAAACTCGCCACAGGTTTCAATGGTGGGAAAGTCAGGAGGAGAGCGTGGGAATGCCAACAGCCCCTCAGCACGCCTGTGGGTTCTGTATGTCACAGGCGATGAGCGATGGGATCGAATCGAATGGGAGGAAAGGTGTAGAAATAAACCTTACCTAGATCCCGAGTTACCAAAATATGGGCTACTGGAAAAAAGTGGCTACTTGGGGTTCCAGGTAGAGGCCATAGATCTGCAAAAGTTGCTATAATTCCAAAACCTGAATGAGGGGATCCCGAATCAAAGGACCTCTATCATGGTGAGCTCGTTTTACACCCGGGTGAGCTCGCTAGAGGCAGATATGTTCCCATTCCCCTCTTTCATGGGTGAGGTGCTCTTACTCAGCGTCGTCAATAAAACTTCGTCAGTGACCCTTACAGCGCCTGCAAACGCTGCAAACGCTGCTATCGCGCGGCCGAAGAAAAGAAGTTCGAGGACGGGAACCGGTACTTCATACTGCCGCAGGGCCTCACCTACTTCGACGCCAAAGGCATCGAGGCGTTGATCGCGGTGGCGGAGAATCGGACGATGGACTCCTGGACGGAGGCCGGGCTCGGGCGGAAGCTGGCGAATGGGGCGGGTGCAGGCGGGTTCGGGCGGACCCTGAAAAAGTGGTGTATATATATATATATGCTTTTGCGCGAGCCATGTTAAGAACTGTGGATGTTGGGCCGGATGTTTTGGGTTAATTTGGAAGGCCACTTATAAAATACACGCGTTTTTTGGTGTCAAAGTTCAGGAAGTTTTGCAGTACTATTTTCGGAGGGGAGTGCTACTCTTGAAATGCTTTTGTAGTAGGATCTGTTCCGAGGAAACGTTGTTGGGCAAGACTTCTTTGGACGGGGCAATGCTATGTGCGAATTGTTTCTGTGCTGGGTTCAGGTTTCAAGAAGCTTGGCAATACTACTTCAAAAAGGCAACTTTTGGTTTCGCATTTGCATCTATTTCCAAAAGTGACCCAGGCCATTAAGTTTATTCTATTTACCCAGACCATCGGCTTGATTTAGTGTTGGGAGCCTATTTCGTTGTGGGGGTCACCGTTAGCTGATTGTTTTGGGACCCTGTTTGAACATGTTGTGCAACAAGCCAATGTATTTGTTGTTTGGTCGGAATTATAAAGGCAAGCTAATGGCACCAAAGAATGGAATCAAAAGGGAATAAGCATTGTTTAGGGCTCGTAGCTTCATTTGGGATTGGTTTCTGTTAGTACCACATAACTTTGTTCGAGGTACCCACTGTGGGATGTTTGTTCAGAAGGTGTTAAACGAAGGAATTAGTTGACCATGTTCCATAAATGTTTGATGTGCGGTTGGCTTCACAAAAGGAAGCTAGCACTGGCGGAATTGATACGGGTTGAAGCAATCGTTAGGAGGCAATACACGCTTTGCCTTTTTAGGACAGTTTTTGGTAGTGCTACATGACTCGAGGTGGAGGGGGAGATGGGTACCCTTGGCTGATTGCCTGAGGTTGGTTGAGAAGGATTGAAACAGGCTTTTCTCAATGCATTACCCCGTCAAAAAATATGACGGTTGGCTTTATGAAGGGAAGCTGTAATTTCGCCAAAGATTAGAATTAAACAGGCCCTTTGGGGCGGGGTTTGCCATGGGGTCGGATGGGTTGGGTGAAGCAGAATAAGGTTGGAGATGGGGTAAGAACTATTTGGGGCCAACAAACCCTTGGCTTCACTTTAGGTTATTTTTTTAATTTTCCCGGCTGGCAGATATGCCTTGATTCTGCTAACCCCCTTCCCTTCCCATGGGTGTCAAGCTGAGCGTGGCTTGGGCAACAAGCACGCCAACTTTGAAATGCATGACGCCACTGGCGTGGCTTCCCACCAAGGTCATCTAAGATCGCTTCCGGGCTACAGTTGTGTGTAAAATCGGCAAACTTCCGGCAGCCCACCTTGATACAGTGGCAATCTTTGAGTACGAAGGGTCTTTGTAAGATACATTAGTATTGCAGTCCTTTTAGTTTCGGGCATGGTTACTTAGTCCTTTCGAAACCCACTCTTTTTTATTGCATTTGTAATTTTCGCGTGTTTTTGGTCAATTGTTTTTGTCGTTTTTTTTTTCCCGTTTTTCTCGCCACGGACCGTTTGTGGCAAAACTGTGGCAAACCTGATTTTGTGGCAAAACTTGCGTGGCAAAACTCTTTTTGTGGCAAAACTGTGGCAAAACCCTTGTGGCAAAACTGTGGCAAAACTCAATACCAAAGTAAAGGGGATAAGTTTTGCCACAGTTTTGCCACAAAAACGTTTTGCCACAGTTTTGCCACTAAAGTTTTGCCACAGTTTTGCCACACTAAAGTTTTGCCACAGTTTTGCCACAGTTTTGCCACAAACGGTCCGTGGCGGGAAAAGCGGCAAAAAAAGAAGAAACAAAATCAATTGACCAAAAACACGCGAAAATTACAAATGCAATAAAAAAGAGTGGGTTTCGAAAGGACTAAGAAACCATGCCCGAAACTAAAAGGACTGCAATACTAATGTATCTTACAAAGACCCTTCGTACTCAAAGATTGCCACTGTATCAAGGTGGGCTGCCGGAAGTTTGCCGAATTTACACACAACTGTAGCCCGGAAGCGATCTTAGATGACCTTGGTGGGAAGCCACGCCAGTGGGGACCAGCCCTTGTTTACCATGCGTCATGCATTTCAAAGTTGGCGCGCTTGTTGCCCAAGACATGCTCAGCTTGACACCCCATGGGAAGGGAAGGGGGTTAGCAGAATCAAGGCACATCAAGGCACATATGCTTAAATGCCCAAGCAAACATTTTGGAACTCAAAAACAGTAGGCATGTTGCATATTTTAGTTGGAGCAGGCCAGAAGTAACCAAGTAGCAAGAGTGGAACGAGTGACGCCCACTTAGGAAGAAGACATTGAGCCTGAACAAAGCTAAGCAACCTGCCAGCCGGGAAAATTATAAATAACCTAAAGTGAAGCCAAGGGTTTGTTGCCCCCAAATAGTTCTTACCCCATCTCCAACCTTATTCTCTTCACCCAACCCATCCGACCCCATGGCAAACCCCGCCCCGAAGGGCCTGTTTAATTCCAATCTATAGCGAAGAGCTTCCCCACAAAAAACTAACCAAATTTCATTCTTGGGGGTCTATTAGTGTGTTGGTTTGTGTGTATACGCATGTGTATGTATGTGCAGCCTTCTGTGCAGACACTCCTAAAACAATCAACGGAGCCCTCACAAAGTCATGTAGCGCTACGCAAACCAGCCGTGGCCGACAAAACAACACATATGCACACAGTGTTGCGATATCAAACAACACCGCGTTGTTTGTGTAAAACTAGAGGAATGGGCCCTGTAGCTGCAAACTGGCCACACTTTCGGAAAAAGTGTCACAAATATTCGAGTGATGTGTTGTGTTCTGGGCTAATTACCCTTTGCCCATCGACGCATCCACTGTCCGTGTTATAAAACCATTTTGTGTCCCGCTCCATCAGGCTTCATCTCGCCAATTTCGTTGCTGTAGCTAAGGATAAAGATAATCTTGACAGGCCTTCCCTAGATCTTCCATCATAAGAACGCGAAAACCTATCTGAGGCTGAGCCTGTCTCGGCTTGACGGCCGGTCTTTTAAGCAAGACATTAACTTGCTTTTCGCAGACTTGCAGTTGTGTTTTGTCTTGCGTTGGGTAGTGATATGTACAGCATGTTTGTTTAAGGGTGCCCGAAGAGCGACCCTATTTGGTAGGTGCCCAAGTTGGCTGCCACAGGCGCACCCCGCATGCTTTTAACATACCTCGCGCAAAAGCATATATATATAATATATATATATATATACTTTAGAGCCTCCGGCTCAGTCCGCCGACATTGTCCTCTCCCTTTTCTCCCTCTTCCTCTCTCCCTTGTGTCCCTGGTGTGTTCTGTCGTCCTCTCTCCCTCCCTCCGCTCCCCATCCTCCCCATCCACCCAAGCCACTCTCTCCCCAATCTCCCTCTCTCGTATGTATGTATGTATGTATGTATGTATGTATGTATGTATGTATGTATGTATGTATGTATGTATGCATGTATATATGTATGTAATGTATGTATGTATGTATGTATGTATGTATGTATGTATGTATGTATGTATGTATGTATGTATGTATGTATGTATGTATGTATATAATGTATGTATGTATGTATGTATGTATGTATGTAATGTATGTATGTATGTATGTATGTATGTATGTATGTATGTATGTATGTATATGTATGTAATGTATGTATGTATGTATGTATGTATGTATGTATGTATGTATGTTGTTATGTTATGTATGTATGTATGTATGTATGTATGTATGTATGTTATGTATGTATGTATGTATGTATGTATGTATGTATGTATGTATGTATGTATGTATGTATGTATGTATGTATGTATGTATGTATTAATGTATGTATGTAATGTATGTATGTATGTATGTATGTATGTATGTATGTATGTATGTATGTATGTATGTATGTATGTATGTATGTATTATGTATGTATGTATGTAATGTATGTATGTATGTATGTATGTATGTATGTAATGTATGTATGTATGTATGTATGTATGTATGTATGTATGTATGTATGTATGTATGTATGTATGTATGTATGTATGTATGTATGTATGTATGGATGTATGTATGTATGTATGTATGTATGTATGTATGTATGTATGTATGTATGTATGTATGTAATGTTTGTATGTATGTATGTATGTATGTATGTATGTATGTATGTATGTATGTATGTATGTATGTATGTATGTATGTATGTATGTATGTATGTATGTATGTAAGTATATATGTATGTATGTATGTATGTATGTATGTATGTATGTATGTATGTATGTATGTATGTAATGTATGTGTGTATGTGTGTATGTGTGTATGTATGTAATGTATGTAATGTATGTATGGATGTATGGACGTATGGATGTATGGATGTATGTATGTATGTATGTATGTATGTGTGTATGTATGTCTATATGTATGTATGTATGTATGTATGTAAGGTAGGTATGTATGTATGTATGTATGCATGCATGCGTGCATGCATGTATGTATGTATTGCATGTATGCATGTGTGTAATGTCATGTAATGTAATGTATGTATGTAATGTAATGTATCTATGTAATGTAATGTACTGCAATGTAATGTAATGTAATGTATGTATGTATGTATGTAAGTTTGTATGTATGTATGTATGTATGTAATGTAATGTATGTATGTATGTATGTATGTATTTATGCATGCATGCATGTATGTATGTATGTAATGTAATGTAATGTAATGTAATATAATGTAATGTAATGTAATGTATGTATGTAGGTATGGTAGGTAGGTAGGTAGGTAGGTAGGTAGGTAGGTATGTATGCATGCCTGCATGAATGTATGTATGTAATGCATGTATGCATGTATGCAATGTAATGTAATGTAATGTATGTAATGTATGTAATGTATGTAATGTATGTATGTAATGTAATGTAATGTAATGTAAAGTAAAGTCATGTAATGTAATGTAATGAAATGTATGTATGTATGTATGTACGTAATGTGATGTAATTTAAAGTAATGTAATGTGATGTTGTGTAATGTAATGTATGTATGTATGTCTGTATGTCTGTCTGTATGTATGTCTGTATGTATGTATGTATCCTTGCACTTCCCCTTTGCTCCCCAGTATTTCCCGCAAAAACACTGTTTTTCCAGCGTTTTCGCAAAGATGATGTCCAAAAACACAGAGTTTTTCCAGATTTTCGGCAAAAGGATGCAGGAAGCCCAAGCCAGCAAAAAAGCCGGCAGGGGGAATCGAGCCTGGGACCCCTGTTTTGCGACACCGGGTCCCCGAAGACTACGTTTAGTGGAACGTCATCAAATTGCCGCGCAGTCCTTGGGGGGGGGGGGCCCCCAAAAATAGTTATAATAGGGCGTGTAAGGCAGGGAATTTTCAGTTTTCAGTTTCAGGGGCAGGGTTCATTTTCAACAAGCAAACCATTTTGTTCAAAACATCAATAGGGATTGTGGGGAATTTTTCTAAAATTTCTCAACATTTTTTTACAATTTTTTCATTATGAAACAGTCTAAGATATTGACATTTTCAAGGTTCGGGTTTCAGACAACTTTTAAGCTTTCTGGGGATACAAGTGTTTAATCATATTATATATTAATAATATGGTTAAACTAAATCACTTATGCTCTCCATTTTCCTATTCCATCCCACCATTGTTCAATAACTTTGAGTTGGTTTAAGCAATCCTCACCTGTATCATTCATTTCATCCATTGCTATTGATAGAATAGTAAGGTTTGTTGCCATACAAAAGTGTTTTCTATATTTGTTTAATTCTTTTCCTTTCTTAATGATGTATGCTTTATCAAGTAAGTTTTTATACATCCCTTGGACAATGTCTAGTCTCATATTTTCACGAATCTTGTCAATGTTCAATCCGCTTTGTGCTCGTAATCTTTCTAAAACATTATCCCAAAACATATCAAATGATGGCGGTGGTAAAGGGTGATTATTAATAAAGTTAATCAGATTTTGTTCCATTTCCTCTTAATATATTAAGGTCTTGTTTCTTTAAGTATATATTTGACTTTAAGGTAGTTTAACCATATTATAGTTAAATAGTATGAATAAACTCATAAATCTCTATAATTAAACCAGTCTATAATCAACCTTTTCTTTTCTAACAAATGACAAACGAATTTATGGTAAAACTCATTATCAAAAATGTTTTTATAAACGACTTTGTCTTTGTTTTCTATATATTGCCATTTCAACATTTTAAGAAAATCTCTACACATTGAAATGCTAAAATTTTTACAAGATACATAACCATCATTATTATGAAAAAGTAAATTATAATGAAATTGAGTAGCGGTTTCATAATAAAAGATTAGCCTATTATCATATCCATACTCTTTTAAGGTTTTATCTAAATCAGTTGTAAATATTGTATGTAATGATTTTTTCGTTGGACATTTATTTAACCTCGTCATATACCAAATCCACTTATCCATTTCTTTTAGATTGTCAGGTTCGTTTTTCATTAAATGTTTTGTAATGGTGCATCTTTTACAACATACAAAACTCAAAATATTATCAATGATACAGTCAGGTAATATATCATTTGCTTTTTTAACTTTGTTGTTGAATATCTTACAACCACGGCATTTTACAATTTCTTTTGTCAATTCTTCTCTGATACACTTATTCATTTTTATCTTACTATATTAAGGGGTCATTTCTTTAAGTAGTTTTATTTTTTCTTCTTGCCTCTGCTACTTTTTGTGTCAGCGCTTTCTGGGCTTCTGCTCCTGCTTCTTGTTTCCATTTGTTCCCTCGTCCATTCACTACCTCTTGCTATTTCTTCGGGTGACCGACTTCTGCTTCTCGTTTCCATTTGTCTTATACCCCATTGACTGCCTCTTGCTCTTTCTTCTGGTGAGTGACTTCTGCTTCTTGCTTCTACCTGTCGTCTTGTCCAGAATGATGCCCTTGGTTGTTCTTCTTGTTCTTCGGATTGAATGGACGGTGAGGATGACTTCTTTTCTCGTTTGAATAATTCAAACACACTCTTGTCTTCTCCACCTAAAAATATGTTTCTTAATGACTTTATTTCTCGGCTTTCCTCTTTCTTATCTTTTTCGGTTGATGCTGATGACGATGATGATGTTAAATGAAGACTTTGTAAATCTTCATGCTTTTCATCTTTTGGTTCATCTTTTGGTTCATCTTTTGGTTCATCGTTTGGTCCTGAAATTGCATTGCTATAAATTTCATCAGCAAAATCTTTTACTACATATCTTGTTGTTTGTGCGTCTGCCTCGTTGTTTTCATATAACTGTGATGTTGGTGCTATTTCATCAAACATATCAGGGAACAATTCATGTTGAAGAACTTGTTTATCAGTTTGAACCCTAGCATTCAATCGTAGTCTCCTATCGTATTTTGAAAGGTCAAAATCATCAAAGTCTATATTATTAATTGATTTGTCAAATGTCTGTCTTTCAGGGATAATTTCAATTTTTAATCTGTGTGTCATCGCTTCTTTCAGCATTTCATCAAATGTAGGGCGTCGTCTTAATCCATAATATTTATCAGTCATATTAAATATTATAGATTTATTTATTGTTGGATTGCTTTATGAACGAAGTATTTATTATAAACATTGTCCTCATAATAGTTTTGTAGTTTAACCTTCACTGCGTTTCTATCTACTCCTGTTGTATTGTTATATTCATCTAATAATTCTTTGAACTCATCATATTTAACAGCGTTAATTACTGTTGTATTGTTATATTCATCTAATAATTCTTTGAACTCATCATATTTAACAGCGTTAATTACATTGAATTGATGTAGTTTTGAAATTATACTATCCATTAAACTTCTTGGATTTTTTGCTAAATATACCGGCCACATCCACTTTATACCACTTAAATAATTTTTGAAAATTCGTTCATCATCAACATCTTCATTTTCAACATTTTGT